TTGAGTGATGCAACCTGTCAAATTGTGCAAACACGGATTACCCATTTGAATACCCATGTTCCTCTTAAACTTTGTTATTTGAAATTGAATGACAGCATCACTTAAGTTCTCAACAGGGTCATCGGCCTGGGGCAGCCCACTGTAGCTGCCCCACACTGTGATGACATGTTTCTAGGTCTACGCTTGACTGTCAGAAACAAAAAATTGTGACATCGGGGACAGTTTCCGGACCATCAGACTAAATTGTGGTTTTACTTCATTATTCTAACATTAGTCTGAGCTCTGTGTTCATTTGAGTTATTTCCTCTTTGGATGGGAGGACCTAGCTTGCCCTAAAGAATCAGCAGTGGAAATTGTGTCTGGGGATGCAGCAGCAGTTTCAAGGAGCAAATTCAGTTTAAATGCTGATTTAAGAATCGCTGTTTCAACTTACAGCAACTTAACTGAGTCAGTTTCATGTTTGTTTTGATAAGGGTGCAAATTTTCTTTCGCTATTGCTCTGGCTTTAACATGACATATCGATTCTTAACTGGGCCTACAAAACTTTGATTGGCTCTTGTGCTTCTTCGAATGGGGAAGCAGCAATTTGCAATGTTTATTTCCTGACACTTACCTTGACATGTGTCACTCATCGAAACAAACAGTATAAACTGGCAACATATACATGACCGTGTTGGACTTGCATGTTTTATCTGCAATTTGTGAACACCAATTATTTGTGAAACATGGCCTGACACCTTTTACGACCTGCAGTACCCAGATTACTAAATCACTCACAAATTGCTCTAAATCTGTGCAATTTTATTATAGGAGCAGCAGCAGCAAAGTCCACGCTGTGACTCGAAAGAGACCTTGGAAAGAGAGCAAAGAAGTTGCAAACTAAATAGAAGGGGAGATGGGGGGGGGCATGTGTGGTCTTATATAAAGCCCAGATGGTCCCAGAGAAGCACGTGACAGAGAAATGGAGGGATGGAGGGATATGGAGAGAGGAGTGTCTGTCTGTCTGTCTGACCGACTGGGGGGCTCACGGGAGCCGACACCACAGGCTACAACACCTGGGCGGTGAGAGGCAGATATCAGGGTCAGTCATGAGAGAAAGGGATGTCATGAAAAACATAAAGTTCAACTTTTGCCCAGAGGGTTCAGCAAAGTTTAGAGTTTAATATTCCCCTTATTTCTACTGGGTTGTGTGGATCTTCTGTTGATTCCAGATCGAACCCCAAATCCTCTGATAAACATACATGTTTTTCTGTTGACTGGGAATTTGCTGTATTGTGTATCCACGTTTGTTTGTCCATCTTTTTCTTAAGCTAGCTTCCCATAAAACCAGTCTACAACCTACAGAGAATGTTTAAACTCATAGGTCATACTCTGCATGTAGCTGGATGGAGCAACAGTAATAACAGAACAGGAGCTTTTCAAGTTACTTGACGTGTGATGGCTGCACTGCTTTCTGGTCCACCCAGGCTGCTGTTGGTGTTTCTTTAGAAATACATGTGGGTTACTGGCCATTTTTTATAGTGGAATGGACTGACCCAGCTTCTTCCCTCCTGATGCCGATCCTGATACTACGGAACTCAGAGTGATAAATAAGGCAATATGATGTACAGCGAGTGGGATTTCTGTGCAACAAAACAATGCTGCCTGCAATGACTGAATGAATGTTCTATAAACTTTATTTAAAAGACATTTGGGACTGCCACTAACTAAATTATTTTATTATTGATTAATCTGACAATTATTTTTTTAATAAGTCAATTAAACACTTTCTCTAAAATATGTCCATTGTTTTTTCCAGCAGTTGTAGGTGGATATTGTAATCGACCAACAATCCAAAACTATTATGAATGACAAACAAACCCTCAAATTTGAGAAGCTGGACTGAGCAAATGTTTTGCTTCTTGCTTAAAAATGACTAAAAAGAGCGACCACAAACCGTTATTCCAGCCCTAGACATTATCGACATTACGTCCACTGTACCCTTTTATGATGATTATTTTACAGCTCTGAGCTGTGTTTTAAGTTGAAATTGCATTTTATTATGAGAAAACTTCTTAATTTGGCTTTACATGTTGCTTTTGAATCCATGCACACAAACATTTCATGGTGACTGAAAACAATTAAACATATGCAGTGTAGACCGCCTTATCAGAGCATTCTAATACAATTCCTATCCTTACTTTAATGCCAATGGCAGCAGCAAGCCGGGGGTTAACTCAATCCAATTCAGTCCAGTAGAGCTAGCAGAAGCTGTAATTCATGATAAATAATGATTACTTCTGATTACTTATTAGGCTGAATATGTGGATTTTTAATTGCTAAATATATTAACTAAATTAGGTCAACACAACACAGTGCCTGCTTTCCACTGTCAAAGAACATCCACTACACATTCTCTACTTCTTTTGAATTCACTCACTTTGCCTCACATTTTGAATTTAAGCTCTGTATAGTTGACACTGTGTCAGGTTGAGTTTTACAGAGTGCACAGCAAAGACTCATGGGTCACTGCTATTCCCAGTGCTTTCTCTCCCCTCTGTCAGGTTGTAGACCTCAGCCGAGCTGTCAACCTGTGTGTTTATGCATGTGTGTGTATCTTCTGAAGGCACACACCTGGATACTGATAGGGAAGTCCGATGTACAAGATGTACAGCCGGGTGGAACAAGAACACACACAGCTGCACACTGTCTCTGTGTCTCCGATGCTCCTTTTCCTTTCCAAAGTCAACTCCAGACGGAGACGTCGTAATGTGCGACCCACTGCGGCGGCGGGCTCACCGCTGGGGGGTTTCAACTCACACACTGCTGCGACCGTGGCTTCACTCTGAGCATCTCCTCACCAACAACAACACATGTGTTTGCTGATCTTCCTGTCTGTCCCACCTGCAGCCTCCACTGCTGCACAAGGAAAGGTCAAGGATGCTGAAGAAGTGCTCTTTGTCTTGGCCCTCCTGACATGCAAGCGCAGCCGGACTCAAAGACGAATTACGGAGCTTTGGGGAAAATATGGCAGCTGTTTGTTTTATGTGGTTGTTGCTGTTTTGCTGTCCGATATTTTTTCTCCCTCGCTCATTAGTCACACTTGGCTCTGCCTCAAAGTTGAACTACGGCACCATGGGGGCAAAATGCGGAGGTTGTTTTCTGTTGCTGTGGTTGTTTGGTTGTTTCTGTTGACACTTTTTGCCGATGAACAAGATCGCGCACTCACTCCGCGTCAGAAGCAGTGTGTTCATCTAGGAGAGGTTGTGATCTGTGTGTGTGTGTGTGTGTGTGTGTGTGTGTGTGTGTGGGCGTCATGCTGTCCCCAGGACTTGGTGTCCTGCAGCAGTTTCATAGAATTAGAACAAAATATAAATGTCACTTTATTGCTCTTATTTTAACTCTGCTGCAACAACTTGTTCACAAATAATGCTGTTAACAAACTGCATTATGGGTAGTTTAACTGTAATACTGAGCATGGTCGACAAAGCATCTGTTAAAGTTGTCTGTAGGGATGTACTGTATTACCTAAAGACATTTTGTGATTTTAAAGATTTATTTACAGCAAAAGAAGAGTGTTTCCATGAGCAGTATTCACATTTTCATCAGATTGAAAGCCGTTCTTACTGAAAATATGCAGCTATTCATTCGCAAGCCTCTGAAAATCAGGCTCTGCTATACACAGATAACATAGGCAGCATGAATGAAGTTTTTTATTACTGTGCCCAGCCCGCATAGGTTGACAAGACACCACAAATTCATATAAGCCAGAGGCAGAGTGCTGCGTCTACATTTTCAAACATAAAAAAGTCCAAAAATAGAAAACCAGCTTTCATAATCAGATCTTCAGGCCTTCATTTTCTACAACAAAATTCATAATTCACTGATAAAAAACATTTATCATATAATGAATACCAGTAAATTCTAGTTAAGTAGTCCATCTTGCCTTCTTCTCCAGGCTTTGAGGCAAAGCTACCATTCCAATTTTTTTTTCTCCACTCCAGAATATTTCAGTGTTTATTCAAGCCGTTTCATTAAAAAAACAACAACTCTTAAATGGTTATTGTTTGTACAGTACAAAAGAAATTGGGACTCACTTTACACTTAAACACTCAAATCACACAGCTCACATTTTAACAGAGTTAAACATTATTGTTACATTCCATACTATGCAGCATAACCTCCATAAAAAATTATTAGAGCTCTTTTGCCCGTGGATAAGTGTGATTTACTTTACACAAATACCTTATTTTATATTCTAGCCTCTGACTTTTTAATGTGGCGATGCCACAGTTGGATCATCTCACATTTGATTTGTACTGACCCTGGTACCCGTCTATGTAAAACAACCAAGATCATTGCACAATTTCTGTTTGTTAATGGCTGATCCGAGAGCAGCAAGTCAAGTCGTCTCTCTTTACTACCTACTATAGTGTAAAAATGATAGAAATGTTTTTTTTCTGCAAGAGCACGAGTGTCTTCATGTGCGCCCACAAAAACACAGACAGACAGACAGACAGACGGACACAGCTGAGGTTATGGAGGAGGTCAGGAGAGAGGGACCATCTGATGCCAGCAGATGGAGTGATAGAGGGAGGGAGGAGAGGAGAGGAGAGGAGAGGAGAAGCTCGGAATCAGGACGACAAGACCAAATGCTTATCGGCTGTTCTTAAAGCGCTGATTTCACTTTACATTCCGTCTGCTCCACTGCGCCCACCTTATGCTAGACTTTGGGGTAGAGGAGATAGTATTTACAGGAAATATTCAATAAGTGTAAGCACGGTTCATGAATAATTCATCTCCATGTGCACCCTAAAGATGTTTATTATTTACCATCATTGCGTGATACAGATCTGATTTAGCCAAATAGAGTAAATGAGGCCTATCGGGTGCTCTTCTCCGTCTGTAAAATAGGTGTGTTTTAACGCTTCCAACTGCAGTTGTTGGACCTGCTGCAGCAGCGCTGTCTACTCTCCTGTCACCTGAAGTCACCTCCCTGTCTCTCCCTGTCTTTGTTGTAGAACGGAGCAGTTCCAGGCGAGCCAGTGAAGAAGGATGAAAACTCCCGGAGAGGGAACTGGGGCAACCAGATTGAGTTTGTCCTCACCAGCGTGGGCTATGCTGTGGGCCTGGGCAATGTCTGGAGGTTTCCCTACCTCTGCTACAGAAATGGAGGAGGTAAAAACATCCAGTACATAAAAAGAAGATGAACTGAAATGGATTTTCCACACTGTACACAACTTGATTAGTTGATGATCAGGAAATGTGTGCGTTGTCATTCATGGACCTTTTGGGATCCAAGTTTTCATGCTGTTGAGTACAAATTTTTCCTGTTTTGTTTTGGGATTTTTATACACACACCTGCCTTGAGCGAGGAGTTCTCCGAGGGCATGATTAAGTTTTATCCTGAAAGGATTTCAGTGTGCCTACACAAGCTGCAGAGAGAAAGCATGTTGTTGGCCTGGCAGCAGCTCAGTAGACTATCTGTACAGTAAGTCTCAGCTAGTAAACAGTTAAGTAATGTGTAAAACAGTTGCTAGGAAACATCTGTTGCATTGTCAAAAGCAATCAATTACTATGTAAATTGCTGTCAGTCGCAGCATGTAACAGTTTTAGAGGGAAAACAATGAATTCAAACTTGACTGTCAATCATTTGTAAACTTAGGTATGCCTTTGTTTTTTTCACATGCACACAAAGAGGTGTGTTTCAAAGTTAGTTATAATCATACACAAGAATATAGTGAAGAATAAGAGGGAAGTTTTGATTATGCAACTGGCATTTATACGTTATGGTGTATTTTTGTGAATCAAATCTTCCTCCTTTCCATTATTAATCAGGCCAAAAGCACCTTCACCTTTACACTCTTGAGCGTCTCACATCTGTCTGATTGAACCTTCAGTTATAATCAACGCAGTCTTCACCGGTCGCATCACAGCTCACACTTTATGTGCGTAACGTCAGTCCAAAGTAGGCTAGATTTGCGTAACTACATTATTGTTTATTGGGATGTGAACGCTGTTAAAATGTGTGTGAGCGCATAGAATGCATCCAGCTGCTTCTTGCTGCTTCCACTGTGCAGCAACTTTATAAGGACATGACAACAAAAACTCTGCTGCTATCAGTTTGTTTTTGAGGCTGTCCTCCAGTAAAATGTATCCTAAAAACACTGGATGAAATGGACTAAAATGTGTTCTAAATAGAACTAAACATTTCCTAGAAAAGTGCTAAAGTGTAGTGAATGGTGGTTAGTTTGGTCAAGGTCCCGTAACTCGGGGCCTCAGACCTTTCCTTGGCATCTGTCCTACTTCTTCTTATGTTTACTCTGCAAATATTTGGATTAGTGTTATGCATGCGGAAGAGCCACATTTCCATACTAGGACTCAGTATATGTAGGCCATACATTAGCTCATACACAGCTGCAAATAGTGCAGAGTGGACAGGAGAGCTGAGCTTTACCAGCAACTCGCACAGCGCGATAAGGTTTTGGTATTGTACAGTATCAGCTGGTCTCACCGACCTAGTTCGCATACAGACACTCATACGAAATCTCACACACACACAACACACACACACACACACACACACACACACACACACACACACACACACACACACACACACACACACACACAGACATTCTCTATAGATGTCTGTCTGGTTCCTGGTCCAGTCTGAACCACCAGAGAGTTGCTGCACCACTGAACAGACTCAGCTGCACACATTCAGTGACCTCTCTGCTCACTCAGGGGAGGTTACTGTGACAGATGAGGTTTATGTTTTCTTTTCTTTTTTTGGTTACTTTTTTTTGCGGATTGCAATGTCCTTTTCAATCACATGACAAATGTCTAATATATGTAGTAATTGGGACTGCTATTGAAGTATTTGTTTTTACACAAACATGCAACACTTGCAGAGATGTATATACAGTATATATTGTGACATTTTCTTTAGTGCTGTATCATGTTTCTAAATGCACCAATGTTTTTAATGATAACATGGTGTATTTGTCTTTCTCATGTTATTTTACCCATACATCTTGTTGTTAGAGATCATATCTTTACAGAGTACATTATCACTCCCAGCCCATGAAGTCAGCCAACACACTTTAAACACTTAACATTTTTAAATAATATGTGTGTTTGCCTCTGTCTGGGCCAGGTTTATCTGTACAGTATTTATTATCTTTGTCAGACAACAGTGTAAAATGTAAATGACATCTGCATATTTTTGTCTGGACTTACACAAACATGCTCTCACATCAGCAGTACTAAAACACTGAAGTTACACATATTGGACTTAGAATATCATTAGAATATCTTCAAGCTATTCATGACCAACTTCCAGTCTTCCTAGAACGCAGACCAATACAGTGACTGAGTTGAGTGCCTGTCCAACTGTCTCCCCCCTCCAGGTGCCTTCATGTTACCGTACTTCATCATGCTGGTGTTCTGCGGCATCCCCCTCTTCTTCCTCGAGCTGTCCTTCGGTCAGTTCGCCAGCCAGGGGTGTCTGGGAGTGTGGAAGATCAGCCCTATGTTCAAAGGTTAGTGTTAATGTGGTTTGTGTGCTTTGATCAATTCATCAATTTTTGGGGACATTCTTTTTTACTCAGAAATTACGTCATAGGGCCTCTTTTTTGGTGAGGGTTAGGGTGAGTGCACTATCACTAGTTTCTCCACACAGAAAGATCACATACTTTCACCCAGCTTCAAGAGGTCACTTACGATAAAGACAGATTTTTTGTGTGAGGTGAGAGATGAGAGAGATTCATCATAAAAGATCCATATTAAGCAGCTTGTTGTCTTTTGTGTATATGATATTATTGTATAGTGAATAATAATATGTGAGGTGAATCTGCATATGCTAATGTTTGTAGTCCGAGCACTGTTGACCAAACATGTTTGAGCTGGCTTTTGTTGCATGCAGGTAAAAACTTCATGTGGAGAGCAAAAGAGGCGTAAAACATTAGCCGAAATCCAGCCTTAGAACCCATAGGCTTGCTTTTTATAAGCTTTTTATATTTATCTGCATTAATTTGCAGCTATCTCTTTATAGAGATTAGTTGACATGAGTGTTTCTCGTCAGATCAAGTTCCTAATCAGATTGTAGAGGAAGTCTTTGCCCAGATATCTGTTTTCCGGATATCCACTGGCCCCAAACATTGGCCGTGTCCCTCTTGACGGTGACCCACCATGTACAAGGCTGTTATTTGCTTCACATTCAAGTTCTAATGTTCTCCTTCTGTTTTTTCTCTCCATCCTGTCTCCGTCTGCCTTCAGGTGTGGGCTATGGCATGATGGTGGTGTCCACCTACATTGGGATCTATTACAACGTGGTCATTTGCATTGCCTTCTACTACTTTTTCCTGTCCATGACAAAATTGCTGCCATGGACCTACTGCAACAACCCCTGGAACACACCGGACTGCAGCGGGGTGGTGGGCAACAGCCAGCGACTCAACGCCAGCCTGGCTAATGCTACCACAAGCCTGGTAGCAGGGGTGTCCGAGGTAGTCAACCGCACCAAGAGGACCAGTCCCAGTGAGGAGTACTGGAAGTAAGTCCACATCAAAGGACACTGATAAAATGGATTATTTATTATGAAGGTTACAATTTTTTTCAGCATTGATCCCCAAACCTGAGATGCAGGCTCAAGTTATGCAAGTAACCTCTTTCCACTCAGTTTTGTAGGCCTGTTGTACTTGACACAGAGGTCAAAATTGACTTGCACATGTAAGATAAGCTTGCACCAAACATGCATCATGTTTGCAGAAAGCATTCAAATATTTGGACTAGATTTGACTGGAGGCACAGCGGCCTCTGAGTGGTTTTGGGCAGCGTCACCACCAGTGACATGCAGGAGGTTTCTCATTTTACCAATGTTACGTCTTTGGGGCAACTGTAAAGGCTCTGCTTTAATACTGCAACCACAGAGCACTTAACAAATCAGCATTAAGTGCTTGGTCATGTTTGTACGGTCAATGAGGGTTTATCCAAGTGCATCTACACTTTCATATGTACAGCTGTACTGGAAAAAAGGGGTTGATGAGGTAAAATATAAATCAGTGGGATGTGGTGATCAATTATCCTCTCAGTCACATTAAACATCTGGGTGATCTGGATGAGATGGATGAACATCTGGATGGGGGAAGAGAGAAAAAAATTATATTTTCACTGTCTCTGTCTCAGTGACTATCTCGGGTTGTTACACCTAAATCAGGAGAGTACAGAGCCACTGTATCACCAACCAATTTAATGTGAGAGAAGCACACAAGTTTCTGTGGTCTTTTTACAGCAGCCTGGCGTTGTTCACACTGGACTTAATCAAGCTCCCCACAGCGGATCATCATGTGTAATGGCTCTGCATTTCACAAACACACATCCATCTTGGTGCTTTCAGCCGCCTGTAAGAATTTAATTAACTGTAGATGAAGGCTTTCATACAGTGTAGCAGCAGCTGATATTGTTCTGACTGAACCATTCATCTTCAGCTCAGTACAAACAATTTTATATTTGCATTAAACTTGTATTTATTTATCTAAATGTGTGTACGGGTTGGAGAGTGTTAAAAGTGTTGTGTTCAGTATTATTTCTTAGTTTTTGCACATTTCTGTGTAGTACTTGGTTTGCTTACTGATAGAACAATGACATACAATCTCATTGCACCTGTCCTTCCACCTTTACATTTTGGGATGATTCAAGGTCAGGACATAATATCATTGCACTGCTCTTATGTGAGCTGTTTCTTTATCACTTTACCATCAAGCACAAGCAAATATCATATTTCTCTAAGTAACACACAACAGTTCAGCTTTTTGCAATGACCTTGTTTTTCTTTGGTAAAGTCCAGTACGGATTAAACAAGCGGCATTAGGAGGGATGTTTATTTGGCTAATGCTGGCCAACAGCTTATTCTCTTTATATTTGCAGGCTTGACATACATGTTATAACAGTTTTAGTCCATTATACATTTATACAATCATATAATAAGCTCTAATCCTGATTACAGCAAACCCCTATACCAGGCTTCAGCAACCTTTACTATCAAAAGAGGCTTTTTTTGGCCAAAACAAGAAAAACAAAACTGTCTGTAGCCGCAAAACATATTTGACCCATATAATGCTAATTTATTATTGTAGATCAATCATACCTTTAAGCCAGCAGCGTTGGTGTTGAAAGCAAACAAGTCTGCCCACACACTATTAAATTCTCTATTCTCCTTTTTTTTATAGCTATATATATATATATATATATATATATAGAGCATAGCTGGCCTAGCTGGGGAGACTTAAGACAAAATATAGAGGAAAATGCACCAGGTCAGGACCTAACGCATGATGCACATTTTAGTTGACGAAATGTTGAAACATTATATTCTGTGTGTAATGGCTACACATTTTAGATTAGAGAATGTAAGAATCCTGTAAGAACACATTCATTTTTTTATATGTATTTTCACTTCATTATGTATAAACACCTGCATTATGTAATAATCAACCAAAATTGATGTCTTCATCTGTAAACGTTATATTTCTTTAACAATTAACATAAATTAAACTTCCCAAAGATTAAATCAGACTCCTACGACCTCATTCACGCTTTTAATTCTAGCATGGTTAACTACTGCAGTGGTCTTTCGACAGGGATCCCCAAAAAGCATCAGCTTATTCAAAATGCTGCACGTTTTGTAACAGCCACCACAATGTGGTGGTAAAAAAGACTTATTACAAAGTGGTGGGAAATTTATAACATATTGGATTCAGGCTGTTAATTACAAAAAATAACGTTCCGTATAGTTCTGTTTAATTTTGTTTCAAAGCCACAGGGAGCCACTGGAGCTAAAGAGCTGCATGAAGCTCCGGTGCCACAGGTTGCCCACCCCTGCCCTATACAATCACTAGATGTATGACAATTAGCTACATTGTTGGGGCATGTGTTCATCCTTCTTTCTATGTAAATACTGACAATACTGTAATAATTTGAAGAGAAACATTTCTGAGGCCAATGAGAAGATGCGTAGGTTGTATAATCTAAAGAATGAAGATTTTAGAAGAAGATAATTATATTAATGAAGATAATTATACTCAGTGCTGCATGCATATAGATGCTGTCATTTAGTATAATTTACATTTCAAATGACACACTTAAATGATATCTGAGAGCAAACAATGTTTTGGGAATCTAAATCCAGTGCATTATTTTTGTCAATTCGTACTGGAGCAATACATGCCACCAAAAAGCCAGTAACAGAGCTACAAAGTGATAATACTACAAAGACCAACACTGCCCTGTGGGTGTCTAAAAGTCCAGTGCTGACAAGTTCATGGTTTAGAAGCCCGACATGCAGTAGTGTTGTTTGCTGAGTTGTAAAAGTATGGAGTTAGACTGCTGTAGATTTTTCAGTATTTGTTTTAAAAGCTACAAGTCTTAAATTTACTCTCTCTCTCTCTCTCTCGCTCTCTCTCTCTCTCTTTCTCAGACACTATGTGTTGAACATCTCGGATGGCATTGGGACCTTTGGAGAGGTCCGTCTCCCTATCCTGGGCTGCCTGGCTGTGTCCTGGTTTGTCGTCTTCCTCTGTCTCATCAGGGGCGTTAAATCCTCTGGAAAGGTCAGCCACGCACACACGTATGCATACTCACACGTAGACACTAATAACTAATAATATTCAAACTGTTTCAGCAACATGTCTATTTACTTTTCATTACATATTTCACACACACTTGTACACAGGCATCCTTAACTCTCTTGTCACTTTTGTTTTGTTCCAACCGTTTTTACCACATCGTCTGATTATCTGTGTGTGGGTGGGTGTGTGTGTGTGTGTGTGTGCAGGTGGTGTACTTCACAGCCACGTTCCCCTATGTCGTTCTGACCATCCTGTTCATCCGTGGGATCACCCTGGATGGAGCCATCAACGGCATCAAGTACTACCTGACTCCACAGTGGGAGAAGGTCCTTGATGCAAAGGTATTCACTCACACAAACAGGCAGACGGATAGATAAACTAGAATTAGAACTTTATTTTGTCCTTATTTTTACTGTGTATGTGGGTTTATGTTTGTAGGTGTGGGGAGACGCAGCGTCACAGATCTTCTACTCCCTGGGCTGTGCCTGGGGGGGTCTCATTACCATGGCTTCCTATAACAAGTTCCACAACAACTGTTTCAGGTTGGTACTCCAGACAATTAGCTCTGTTGCTGAGAGTTGGATAAGAATATCGATACCACTCACATATCGGTGCGGTTAACGTGTAACCACAGTCAGGACACTGTTAGCCTAGCACCCTCACAATAAGAGAGTAAAATGAAAAAAAGTACAGCTTTCCTAATTGTGACTAATGACAAAAGTACCTATTGTGTACTTAACACGTCACGTGTTGGCTTTCCAGAAACAACAACTTGATGACCATGCATGTGGGAATTTATGCAGTTGGATTTTGCATTAACGGATGTGAGACTTCTGCAGTTTAATCCTTAAAACTGAAGTTACAGCATTAAATTACATTAACTGGAGGTGGTTGAATTTGCAGCACCTACCTGCCTGCCTCTACCTGTGTGAGTGTGACCACGCTCATTTTGCATCAAGCAAAGCTGCTGCACTGTTTCAGCATCTTATTATTTGCACTAACTAGGCAGAGGGAGTGAGAGGATGAGGAGACGAAGGAGGAGGGTGGCGATGAAGTCGAAAGGAGGAAAAGAGGAATGGAGCGAATAAACCACATGCCACTGGAGGCTTAGGCGCAGAGGGAAGGGTCGACCAGCGAGAGGGAGAGGAGAAGTTGTCTCAGGTTGTAGCAACTCCTCTAAGAGTCAGAGTGACGGAGAAAGTGAGAGGAGGAGGGTAAAATAATCAGGAGCCAACTTCAAGGCTACAGGTCTAAAAAGAGAAGAGTGAGAAGGTGAGATAAGGTAGGACAGGAGGAGGGACAGAGATAATGTTTTTTTAGACTCATGTTAAGAGGCTGGTTGCACTGTGCTTGAACGCCAGGGGATCGAGTGAGAAGCCAGGAGAAGGTTAAGATGGAGGAGAGGGGACAGAGGAGATAAGGAGAGGGAAAGATGTCATTTACTCTCCTGAGCTTGTCCACACATGCTGACAGAGTGAGGGCGTCAGGGGGGGTGGGTGGGAGTGGAGGGGGCGAGGAGGAAGGCTGAAGATATAATTTGTTCCTCTGCCAGAAACTTGAGGTTGTGCTATCTACGCACACAGCTGCATGGCGGCCTAATCAGCTTGTGTTCTGCAGCGCCGTCCCTGTGGAGCCACTCTCTGCACTCCTGTAACACCACCAATTGGTGCACATGCAGAAGTGCAGCAGCGAGTGTAGGACGGAGCAGGGGTCTGATTGGTTGCTTGTGGGGAGCTGAGAAAGGAACTGGCATCAAAGTCATCAAAGACATCCTCTGTAATAACTCTTAACAGGAAATGTGAGAAGGCAAGGCAATGGGCAACCACCCAATTCCCTTGTTGAGTCTGAACAAAGTCAAAGTCCAAGTCTGAGTCAGGGAGAGTAAAGATGAAACTGGTGCTTCTCCAAACAAGTACAAGTTAATTTCTGTTTCTGAGAGCACAAACCGTAGCTATTTTTATTTGGTATTTCCAAACTGGTTTTCATTCTTGTGCAATTTTCCCTGTCCTTGAGCTAAAACTCACAGCAATTCTCTTTCACTTTACAAAACATTGAAAGGAAGATTTTGTCGATTTACAAGGTGCTGTTTGATCTAATCAAGTTTGCAGATTGCTAAACTAATACCAAAAGTACTGATACTATCAATATTGATACTATGTCTAAATCACAACGTGGGGACATCAACACTCTTCTTACAGTAGTCCCTGTACTGTAATCCTGCATGGGATTGAGTAATCAGCTCACTTAATGTTTGGTAAATCATTTGCTGATGATGAAAAAAACCTTTTATAATTCATTCACCTTATAGATTACAGGACATTAGTCTGTACTGGCATTAATATCAGTGATTCTAACCTGGATCAGAACCAAATCTCACCCACTTGTTGGATGATTGGGAAGGGGGAATAGAGGGAGTGGTCCTAACCGGGGAGATAGGAGAGGAATGTTTTTTTATTCATCTTTTTTGTAAAATCACTGAAGAATGAATCACATAAAGTGCATGAACAGCTCAGCCTTTCATTTATATAATTCTACTTGAAAATGATGTTTTCTGTAATCCTATGCCCTCTGTGCAAAAGGACAATATAACTGACAATGTTGCTGGGTACACTGGTTTCAAATTGCATGTATCCCATTTTGTTTTCCAGCAGTTTAATTAATGTCCAACACATTTCTTCCTACCTACAGAGACAGCATCATCATCAGTATAACCAACTGTGCGACCAGCGTGTATGCCGGCTTTGTCATTTTCTCCATCCTTGGCTTCATGGCACACAACCTGAACGTCCCTGTGTCAGAGGTGGCGGACCACGGCCCGGGCTTGGCCTTCGTGGCCTACCCAGAAGCCCTCACTCTGCTCCCCATCTCACCACTCTGGTCGCTGCTCTTCTTCTTCATGCTCATCCTTCTGGGACTGGGGACTCAGGTGAGGTTGTGCTAGAACCCAACATGCAGTGGTGTTGTGCAGCTCCATGTTGATGCTGTAAATGGGACCTCAATCAATAGACCTGATTTAGATCTGCAGATCTGTTTATAGGTATTAGTTATCACTGGCTCAAGGAGCCTGTTTTTAATATCCCCAGCTCTCACACAGGCCAAAGTGTGTCAAGAGTTATGCCATATTTTTCCAATATTGGCTTGTTTAATATTTTGTCCTGTTCAGCAACAAAAACATCCATGGTTCCCCAGATGTTTGACATAGACTGTGTTGAAGCTGAGATGATAAAAATTAATATACATTCGTTATTCATACATGTTGAACAGGAACTTTTTCCTTTTAAAATGTCAGACTTTCTACAATGTTATTTAGCCTCTGCTCATCATCCCTCAGCAATGGTTTGGTATAATAACATACAAAACCCATCTCCAGTCATCTGTAAAGAGACTGTGGAACCCCTGTTCTCGTCATGAAATTTGAGCAACAACTGTCCAATCTCATCTCTCATCATTTAATTGAATCCATAGACCTTTCGTCCCTGTTCTTACAGTTCTGTTTGCTGGAGACCCTCGTGACGGCCATCGTCGATGAAATTGGTACAGACTGGATCATCAGGAACAAGACCGTAGTCACACTGTCAGTGGCCATAGTTGGATTCTTACTGGGCGTGCCATTAACGACACAGGTAAGCCCCCACTCTTAGGTCTTTGAATGCAACTTGCTTTCTCTCATGGAGATGCAGTTTTGGCTCACTCTCTGTTTTCTGTGTGCAGGCAGGAATCTATTGGTTGCTACTGATGGACAACTATGCTGCTAGTTTCTCCTTGGTCATTATCTCCTGCATAATGTGCATCTGCGTCATGTATGTCTATGGTAAGGACGGAAATACGACTGAATGTCCTGATGTTTGAAGTATATTGCTCTCATGTGAATTTATGACAAGAACCTCAAGACAAAAACCTCTGCTGGGACACTTTATTGACATATTGACTATTAGGTTTGCTATTTTGGGTTTATTTCTGGTTTGGTGGTCTGTTATCTCTGTAGACAACTGCCCATACCTGGACATAATGACTTTCTGTACAGCTGTTTCAAAGTCTGGAAGCAGACATCAGTGGTAAATGACTTAAATGGTAAATTTGTCTGAGTCAAATAAGAGCGAAATAAATGATGTAGACAGTTGTTTAAGAGAGGAAAGTTCAGTAAACGAGGACAGAACTCTAACATACCTTGTTGGTATTTCTGTGTTACAGTTAGAGCAAACTCACCCACATTGCACTGTACAAGAGGCAGAGATACTGATCTTTCTCCACCAATGGCAGGCTCACTATGCCAGCACACAATGCTGCACAATGTTTTCAGTATGTGCTGCGAGACTATGAAAACCATTCCTCCTTTTACTCTCCCTTTTCTTTTTTGCACCTGCTGCACATCGATACACCTACAGCATTAAGATAGTTATGGTCCCCTAGGCTTCACTTTTTGACGCTGCTGGAAACACGACACAGCACAGGGAGAACAGACAAAGACACACATACATAAACGTACAACAGATACGTACATAACAATAGCCTGAGATAAAACCGCAATGTCTTTGTGTACACACATACACGGTACAGACATAGGATTCATATTAAAATGAATTAGCGTTACTGAGTATATGCTAAAAGGCAATACTGAATAATTGGCATTTTCTACCTTGTTATAACAAGCTATGTGGCAGTTTTTCTTAGCCCAGTCGGGATAGACTTCATCAGCACAAGTTAGCAACAAACCCACAGTCTGATATCAGCAATGAGAAGGCCAGAGTGTTGCCTTAAAACACTACCTAAAATAACACTTACTGTATGTCTCAAATGGCAAATCCCGAGGACCCCCTGTGAGGACTGAAGTGAGAATCTTCCCTCTCACTGTCAGGCAGCCAGACATCCCCCACATTCCCACGAGTCTCAGGATCAGCACTGTGGCAGGGTGCTACAGAGCAAAGGCTGGTCTACTGATGGACTTCAGCCTTTATGATAATTGAGTCATTTTACACTGGTGAAGTTCTTAGCTCAGCCTGCAACCAGATACAGTCACACTAACCTGAGCCTGTGGCGGAAAATTAACAGGCAGTGTAGATAAGTGTGCTGATATTATCTTGAAAATAACACACAACTTACAGTCATTTTAAGTCAGCTCCCTTTTTTCAGTTTCCACAAATCTGTCCAACAAATTGTATTTCATTTTGCATTAGCACCTTTGAAGTTCCTTTGATTATTATTATTATTGTGGTCTGAAAGCAGTCTGAACGGCAGTTTTATTAAAGTCATAGTCTATAACCTTTCTCCCCGTGAGTGCTGCTGAAGTACCATCGATTTGGGTCATGGTACTAACAGAGGAGTTCTGCCCATAACATCGGGGTTCCCAAACTTTTTCCTGTGAAGTACCTCCACAATAGATGCACAATATACCACAGACCTCCAATTTGCGATAATTTTGTCTTAGGAAATCCTCTCTGAGTATTTTTTATAGGTTTGAAGATAGCCATCATAGTCAATCTATGAAAAAAAAAACAATTAGGATCACTATAAATTACAATGGATTAAAACAGCCAACCCTACTTTTTCCCTTTGTGATAAATGTTAAAATATCCTATTCTGCCTTTTACTGAGGACCCCCTAAAGCCCACTCAATGATTCCAGTTTCTCCCTGGATCCCAGTTGAAAAACCACTGGACCAAGTCACCAATTTTAGTAGAAAAAGACAAGAAAAAATCAAAGAAATCAAATACATTGAGTCGCAAAATCACTCTCGGAATCACAGACAGATGGTATATATACCAGTCCAAATAGAGTGAGGGTGTTGTTCAGCTGAAGATAAAGGAGCTAGAGAGAGACCATGTGCTGAATCTACTTTTATGCGTGCATTGTATTTTATTGTTCAAATGTAATCTTACTGGATACCTTTTTCTTCTTATCACAGGTCACAGGAACTACTTTAGAGACGTTGAGATGATGCTGGGCTTCCCTCCTCCTCTCTTTTTCAAAGTGTGCTGGAGATTCATCTCCCCTGTCATTATCTCAGTAAGTGAACACACACGCATGCAAATGCAGCTGCTGATCAGGGACCGCAGTCGAAGTGACTCAAAGTCCACTCAAAACTTAAATCATAGCAGTCTCATTAACCTCCCTGTCTCCTGGAACATGAACGTGTATGGAGATTAGCTTGTAGCAGGAAACAAACTGCACGTTGACGTAGCGACCTGAAGGATGTGGAGTGTTAGGTTCTAAACTTTCCTGACATATTGTTAGGGACCTGACCTACATTTGAGCGGCCATCGACACTAATCTGTTTGGCTACTGTTAGCTTTGTTTCCAATGTAAACCTCTAAAAGCAAATCTTTGTGACTGTGAAATGGACACATGCAGCTGCTATCAATGGTATTTCCCAAGCAGGCGACAGTATTAGTCCACTAAGCCGCTGGGCCAACCAAGAAATTCATTGTTGTGGATTACTGGACAGATTTCAGGCACTTTTGTTCTCTCTTTCATTTCACTACACAGATTAATGCCCTGCTCTCCAGGGCCTTTGCTAGAACTGTGACTAAACTCACTGCTGTTGGGAACAGTCATGATTTATAACCATAATTATCTGCAAGTTTTAAGTAAAAACAAATGTCTGTTGTGCTGCAGTCTACAGTGATTTCACCTGCGCCGAGTTGTGCAGGAAGTAATGTTTTTTACTTTGACTGTAGGTAGCAACGGCAGCCATTTGTTTGGAACAGCTGTAACCAGGATGGGGAACGCTGACTCATTTAACACTAATTAGTGTGTTGTTGTGAAATTGATAGGAAGAATACAGTGAAACGTAGCTTACATTTTTTTGTTTTTGTTTTCATGACCCCCCCTATCTATTGAGAGTTGCAGCTGTTGAAGAAAAAGATTTCAACATCTTTTTTTTTTACTTTTGGTTTATTTGGTCCTCTCTTTTTCTGTATTTTAACATTAGCTTTTGGTGCTGATGGTGCTACACCTGCTCTAAATGATAAAAGCCTGTACTTATCCATCCTCTCTTCTGTCTGTGTAGTTCATCCTGATCTTCACAGTGATCCAGTACAAGCCCATCACCTACAATGACTATGTGTATCCCGGCTGGTCTCTGGCTATTGGCTTCTCCATGGCTCTGTCTTCAGTGGTCTGCATACCCATCTATGCCCTCTACAAGATCTCAAGGTCCCCAGGAGCCACCTTCAGAGAGGTACAGCACCCTCTACAGCCGTTTCTCCTAATAGAGTGAGCCTCCATGGCATCTCCGCTTTGAAAACGTGGAACGTTTAGGACGCCAACCTATTATTACGCAACACTATACCACAGCAACAACAAACTGACATGTCATTCATTAATTTAACTAATCAGTATATTTTCTGTGATCATATGTATATGTCCTGAATTGAAAAATCCCTGCTTCTTGCATTTCTTGGTAAAATGTAGTCTCACTAAACACAGATCAGCTACTAGTAGGAAAGGATCTTACATGTATGGCTGGCCTTAGCTAGGAAACAGTTTCAAAAGTTTCAAATTCCTGAATTTTAAAGGACCAGTGTGTACGATTCAATTGCATCTGGCAGCGAAGTTAATAAATAAAGAATAAAGATAAGTGTCTAAAATGAAGGCACCAGAAGCATTCTTATTTTTAGCATTTTCAAAAAAACTAAACAGCTGCTTTATTTCCAACATCTTGTTCCTCTGCTGGGATATTATACAAACCATTGGTGTAACTGGTTAAATCTAGCTCAGTATTAGAAGAAACAAAGCTTTTTTTTTTTACTTTCTTGAGATTTTTTTTGCAGTCTGGATGTACGAGGGGGTCAGTCTCCCTCCATACTGAGGCTGCACTGAATGATGTGTCCCTCCTTTCTTTTTCTTCATCAGCGGTTGAAGTTCGCTTGCCGAGCACATCCAAAGTGGGGCCCTGCCCTGCAGGAGCACCGGACAGGCCGCTACGCCCCCATGGCCTCCGAAGACACTGTGGAGGCTCGTCCCCTCAAGGAGAAGGAGGAGCTGAAGGAAGAGCTGAAGGTGGAGGAGAAGGAGAAGGAGAAGGAGACAGAGAGGAAGGATGAGATCAGCCTCACCATCCAGGGAAGCAACGGCTCCACCAACACACACAACAACCCCAACCCCAGCGCATAGACGGCACCCTGCCCTGTCAGTGCTCGTGGGCATGGGCCCCCGTGCTCCGCCGTCTCCTCCTTCTCTTCCTCCCTTCTCCTCCCTTCTCCTCCATCCTCACCCCACTTTCCCACAGTCCTCTGTGGGGGAGATCCCATTCACTGGAGACCTTTACATATTGTAAGGGCTTATTATATCTATCCTAACCTCTTCTGTCTTATCTGTGTGTTGTCTCTAGATAAAGGAATGAAAAAAAAAAACGAAAGGAAGAAAAAATTGGGTCATCATCCAAAAGATTTGTGTGTATGTATATGTGTGTGCGTGGGTGGGTTGTTAATTTGTTACACATAATTTAATAATGCAGTTTGTTTTTCCTTTCCTTTTTTTGTAAAACTTGTATATGTCATCTTCATATGCAGTTAGAGGTGCAGTAGATTGTGAAGCTGCATGAGTTTGTTTGGTGCATGCAGCAACATAGAGACACACACTGTTCTCCTTTATTCTGTTGGCTGGGTCTGTTTGGGATCGGAGATTTTCTAGCAGCAGTGATTTGACAGCTGGGGACTTGTTGTGATGCACAGTGGTGCTGTAACAAAGAGGAGCAGGGTGAACTGTGCCTGTACTGGCCATTTGCGGTTTGATGATGCTGAAAGATGGAAATAGGCTCAATCCTACGGCCAGAAAAAGAGGCGGATACACTCATTCACACTCATACACTCACACTATTGTACATTTTACAGCACACAGTGACCTCAACCGTAGTTGATCTCAGCTTAAGACTAAGCCTGTTGTTTTTTTATGCTGCTTCTTCTTTAAAAATACTCTACAAGAGCACAAATATTTAACAAACACCCGAGATGACGACTGACACTTAGGGCTGATTTTCTGTGGAAATTTCCTCTATTTGTAACTTTTTTTCAACTAAAGCTGCTTAAACTGAGCAGAGAAATATCAGTGAACCGTACTGTACTCTCTGCCTCCGCATTCACACACACATTTACACACACACACACACACACACACACACAAAGCATTAGTTTCCAGTTTTTTTTGACAGAAGAGATCCCAGTGCCCATTTCTCAGGGTCCAAGCGAAGGTAAACTTTGTGCTTCATTGCTATTCCTTGCCTGTGGAAACCTTGTCTCGACTATAGGGACTGAAACCACCTAACTTTTCCCGCTGTCGAAAAAACACCTACACATACACACAAAGCAGGTGGATGCAACTCTGTATATAGAAGTGCCATCTCTTCTCAAGTCTTCCAGGCATTCTTTTTGAGTGAAATGCATCTTGGGATGTGGTCTATGAAGGAGGATCCGGGCTAGAGGAGGTAGCTAGTGGAGGGATCATAGGTGTGTCGTAGTCTGTGTCTCCCGTGGGCCGTAGCAATCTGCCCCGTTAAGGCATGTTACCAAAAACATTACCTGAGTTACCTGAGTCCTGCACATGTTTTTGGTAACATATATACTGTATATCTCAAGGAGACTGCTATGGTGTCTCTTACAGTCAGTGGAACCTTTAATGTATTTACAGGCATTTCTTTTAAAGCTCTGAGCCAAGCTGTGACTGGAAAGACAGAGAGTAGAGACATGCGGCTTGTTTCTATAAGAATACAGAATAAAAATCAATTTAAAGAAATTATGTAGTTTTAAATGTAGCTGTATAGTATTGTTCTCTCAGTAGAATTCTCCTTTTTACCTCTCATTATTGTAAAGTAACTTACCGTAGTAAATAATTTTAAAGACAGCATATGTTTATTTTGTACAAAAATAAAAAAAAATACAGAATCATAATTAACCATGTTTACTATTCCTCGGTCTGTGACTTGATTTGTTGCTGTTTTGTTGGAGGGTGTGATAGGACAGAGAGGGGTCTCTTTAGCATGCAGGGTTGGGTGTCTGACTGGAAAGCATCCAGGGCAACTTCGTAGTAGTGTGATGGCAAAGGGTTAATGGCAGTCTAAATACAGAACAAATACATAAAGAGAGTTTATTTTTTTTGTCATCTAGACATCTTCCTGGGAAGATCACATGTTCCTGTTTTTTCATCCTAAGATGCTTTTTTTGGACGGCGGCTCAGGTGGTAGTGAGATGCTTTTAGCTTCATGGACAGGGAGGATGTTTGGGATTTGCGTCAGGTCTGGCTGTAACGTTACTTCATGTTGCAGATTTCAGTTTTTCTTTCTGAGTGAGCTGTCAAATCATTAATAAAATCTAAGACGTTAGGGGAACAAGAGGGCTATGATACCAGTACGAGCATGGAACAGATTCACACGATACAAAATGATACACAATATACCATTTATGTGTAGAGAGACTTAAAGGAGTAGTTTCAAAATTTTGGGGAAAATATTTTTATTTGCTGTCTTGCTCAAAGTTAACTGAAAAGATTGATACCATTCACTTGTCTGTATGGTACAGCACTTGGCTAGCTTAGCTTAGCATAAAGACTTGCTCTGTCCTATGGTAACAAAATCTACCTACCAATGAATGCACAAAAACATCTGCTGGTTGCCTGGCAACTGGTCCCGACCAAGATATACAGTAGATTTCCTCTGTTTCCAGTCTTTATATTTTATGTACACACATGAGAGTGATATTAATCTTCCTATCTAACTCTCAGCAAGAAAACAAATGAGCCTATATCCCAAAAATGTTGAACTATTCTTTTAATTATTTTAAAATGTCCATGCGAATCAGGCTTTTTAACAGTTTTTAGAGACATTGAAGCTTCAGACTAAATCTGTACCGTCTTTTTGGCCAGCACCACTATTCTCCACAATCCTATCAGGATAGTGACTTTGACATGACGGTGCAGTTGTTCCACCAAATTCACAAGGTGGGGTGATGCTGACACTCAGGGTAGTAAAGGCACATTTACAGATGAGTAACTGTGAACTAAATACAAAAAAGCCCAACAGACAAGACTTTCTGTGGCTGAAAATGTTAAATGTCAAGAAAGAAACAACGAGGGGGGTCGACGCTAAGCACAGAAGCTGAAATATAGTAAAGATAATCGCGTAAGCACAGTGAGCGTAGTAGTAGTACAGTTTATTTTTAATTAAATTACTGCAAAACCAGGTGCTCTATGAAACAATACATTATTACCATCTACTAAATATAAATATATTAGTAATTCCGGTCTGAGGAAGGTTACACTCTCTAAATGAGGTTTCATTTGCTGAAAATGGTGAATATGAACTTATTATTGTGAGTGTATATTGGGACAGCTTGTAGCTCAGACCGTTTCCTGTTTGTGATTGCCTGTCTTGTGCGTTCATGCTGTAGTAAGCTTAGCAGCCATGTTACCATGCTATCTCTCTATATATCCCAGCCCTCACCATCTCGGCTGGCCCCACAACTCTTCCTCCCTTTGTACAGTAATGTAAAAAAATATATAATCGGACTGTGTGTATGTGTGTGTTTATCCTTGCTTTTATTTTAGGGGTGGGTTAAGTGTGTTTTTGCGGGTCGAGGGAGGGCGGGTATTGTTTCAATTTGTTTTTGATTTGTAATTTTTTCTTGTAGTGTAATGTAGACGATGTCTGGTGTACTGTGTACTCTGTGTGTAGTGGATTAGCTCGTACTGCTGAGCCTGCATGTAGAGCAGGCGTAGTGTCAGTATTAATGTCAATGTACCTCTAATCTATCAGAACTAGCCACGTCCTATTCTGCTAATAATACACAGTCTATCTTTTAAGAAAGAAAAACATTTTGTACTAAAAGAAGAGAAAGAAAACTACATATTTTATCTTCAGATTTTAATCATTGTTTACCCATGTTCAATGACTCTACTTTTTTGTTTATTTGTTTTTGATGTTGTATTCATAGAAACATTAAGATAAAGCCAGCTAATATTAAAAGCATTTCCAAACAAAAACTTTGGATCGAAACTTGAACTACAGAAGAATGGATAGTTTGTGGTGTGGATGGCGGCTGCAGCTACATGACGATGCTTTTTTTTTTTAAAAAACAAAAGCTATATTTTACACAGTTCAGTGCCAACAGTCGTACATCGCTGTTTACCTTTAATATTCTGTGGCCCTTAACCCAAGCAGTTTGGCTTTTTTCTGTCTAGTTTTTACAAATTGTTAAAGAAAAATTAGCAAAATCAAAACACCAAAATTACTCTTCAACCAAGATTGAATTAGCATCAGGACCCATTAACTCACATTTTCATTCTTGTGCAGCTCTGATGCATTATACCAGAACACAATACTGTTTTATGTGGGCATTTTAGGCAATTATATGATATATGTATCAGGCAAGGGTCAAGTTACTATGATATTTTGATTTATTTCTCTTGTTAGTAAAGCGAACCTTCAATTATTTGGCTACCAAAAGAGCAAGACCTATTTAGTCCTCCAGCAAAGCTAAAAAAAACACACAATGGACAATAGTAAATAACTGACCCATGTCTTCAAATACTAATATACTGTTGCCTACTATCATCTTGGACTGAGGTGGCTGTGCAGAAAGTCACTGATGTTGAAGAACATGAACTACGTGAAGGTTCGGATCATTTTTATACACAAATTCACAGCACAACTGCTCTACTGTACTAAGAAACAAAACTGTGATTTTACCTTGTTTCTGTGGTTCTCTGTAAATTGCAGAACATTACCTCTTGAATTTCCTACTACTGCTCATATAATTAAATCTCATCTTTCAGCACTTTAAAGAAAATCATTCGTTTTTGTGTAAGCAACAGGAAAAGAATCTAAAATGAAAATATTTCACACTTCCATTTTGAAAAAAAGAAAACAAGTACAGTGAAAAAAACAGTTTTTTTTCAAGTGGTCTGGCTGAAAGAAACTGTCCAAGTGTCAGTGGACAAATCCTGTGTCGTTGCTATGCCAATGTAAATTGTTTCATGGCAGGAGTGGCGAGGAAAAGCACAAGTGAGAAAAGAGAACACAGTTCTTCTGGTATTCTCTATCATATCTATCTGTCTATCTATCTAACCATGTCTGTTCTTCTTGTTCTTCAACCTTTAGGGCCAAAATCCATTGTAATGTCTTAGTCCTGTCAGCTGTATATCGTAAACTGTTGAATTACAAAATGGTAAATAAAATCTATTTTAAAGATCAGTGCGCTGCTGTGTTCTTGTGTTGTTACATGATGCGTTTAAATATATGTATGGCTACATACTACTCATAATGCATAATTCAGAACATTAGAACATATACTTCACATGAAAGACTCATTCAAGGTAAAGATTGAGAACTTAGGCCATGTTTGAATTTGTCACACTACCATTATTATGGAAATGTTGGTGTTTGTATGTGTCTGAAAGTATGGAAAAAGACTGTATTAAAAAATTTATATATCCCAAAAAACATGGAGAAATACAAAGTACAGAATCTACACGGCCAACACTGTCACATAATTCTCTATTATTTATTTACCAGCCATTCCAGACCTTTTAGGTTTGTTGCACCTTAAAGTGCAACTACAAAACCTTTTGAAAGAATAAAAAAACACAAACTTGTTCCTACAAATTAAAAGTTGATTTCATAAGAAATAAAAGGCACCCTTGCTCTATTCAAGGCACTCAGGGATTTTGGTGCTATAGTCTTACTTGGTCTGGTATGAGCAGTTGCTTATGGTGGCTAACGTTAAGATATAAATATTCTGTTTGTTGATTATACAACTATTCCCTACGTATGCTATAATTATACCAGTTTTAGCATGTCAGGGAATTTTATTGGGTTTTATCAAAAAAGATGTAAACGTGCTACACTTCACACAGGAGACTTGTTAGAGTTCGGTCTAGACCTACTCTATTTGAAAAGTGTCCTGAGATAACTTCTGTTATGAATTGGCGCTATACAAATAAAACTGAATTGAATTGAATTGTTTGTAGTTATTTGCTTCAACCCACTCTCAGTCAGGTTGTCTAATATTTAAAGAATTCTGAAAATAAATTATGGCATTAACTAGCTATTTCCACTTGTGGCCTCAGTGTCTTCTGTTCAGCAGTAGTTGCACAGTTTTAAAGTGAAGGTCGAGCTCCTTATACTGAGTATAATAAAAGAGCCTTTAATATTGCATTGCAGACACCCATGAGTTTCAGCTGAAAGCCTGCATTTGGGTCAAGACATGAGTTACAGGTGTATAGATGGAAACCAAAGGAATGCCGAGCCACAGACATCACACAGGAAGTCGATGAGACGGCATTGTGAAACACACCCAGTACCGACTGTCTGTCTTTGTTCACAATAAAGAGCATATAAATCAAATCATAAAGGCTCAGAAACAACGCAATGAATTCTAAATACATTTTAAAAAGAAAATAGCAAGGAATAAACACGGTGAACATATGTACATGTATAACAGCTCTACCCAGGAAGTTGAAAAATGGTAAAACTATCCAGTATACAATAAACAATATGACAGACAATAAAACTGGAAAATGGCAGTCCAATGTTTAATATTGATAGTTTCATGATATCAAATCCTTTTGTATATTAGCTGCCAAACTAGAATGAGATAGTAAGTGATTCATAGCATACTGTGTGTTTTGTACTAGTATACTAGTAGAGTATTTGGACACATGATATTTCTTGTATGGTAACAAAACAAACCATACTGATCTCTGTTGTGGGTTTTTCCATCTGTGGCACTTTTCTGCTATATATGTGAGTCAGTGCTGAACTCCCCTTGCCAGGGCATGAACTAGAATAGAATAGAATCAACTTTTATTATCACATATACAATCATACACAACGCATAGTGAAATTTGTCCTCTGCATTTAACCCATCCCAAGTATTAGAAGTAACGGGCAGCCGCTGTAGAGTGCTCGGGGACCAACTCCAGATCTAAGCCAGTGCCTCGGTCAAGGGCACTGACTGGAGGAATGAACCTAACATACATATGTACGTGTGTATATGAGGCAGTTGCAGTGTCATGTTCTGACTAGACCACTAGATGGTGTCAGAGAGACAAAATTAATTCACGGGCCAGTTTTTCAGAACTAGACTGATGAAACTGCAAATAGGCTATCAAAGTTTATAAGCCGCTGTCAGTTTGTATAAACAAATATTTAATTATAATAGAATGATATAAATATAAATATAATTATAAATAAAATAGAACAAAGTAAAGTAGCAAAAAAGGGAAGAAATTAAAAAGGAAAACTAGTTAATGTGTATACATAAGTGTGGACAGCTGAGAACAGGCACTCTACCATGAGTGCAGGCCACACCGACCTCCCTGTGAAGGCTAGGGGCCTTGCCATGCTTGAGGCTTTGGGGATCTGGATTAGGCTCAGGGGGGCTATGAGATCCTGCTGGAGGTATCTCGTTACTTCAGAAAAACTGATTTCTTTTTATGAAAATGTCTTAAAATAACTAATTAACTGAGAAAAACAGTATATACACTGATCAGTCATAACATTATGACCCCCTAGGCACCCTGGTGGTCATAATATTATGCAGCCTGTGTGTTCTGACACCTTTCTATCAGAACCAGTATTCACTTTTTCAGCAGTTTGAGCTACAGTAGCTCGTGTGTGGGGCGGCCAAAGCTCACTGATGCATGTGGGGTGCGATGGTTGGCCTGTGTGGTCCGATCCATGACCCTGTCTCTGGTTCACATCTGTCCTTCCTTGTGCCACTTTTGATAGGTACTGACCACTGCAGACCGGGAACACCCCACAAGAGCTACAGGTTTGGAGATGCTCTGACCCAGTCGTCTAGCCATCACAATGTGGCCCATGTCAAAGTCCCTCAGATCCTCACGCTGCCCATTTTTAGTTCAGTTTTCAAGATACCTTATCACAGACTAAAGTGATGGCCAAGGAAGAACTTCAGCCTGACAGTGGTGACAGACAAAAGGTCAGGTAAAATGTGGCAGCATAGTCCTCTATGCACTATCAAATGGAATCAGAAGAGGGCAGCATGGCTGTGGATATAAAGACCACCCGACTCTTTTACAGCCACAGCTACTCCAGCCAAGCCATTTTATCACTGGGCCATAACATCCATCATGGGTGCCACCAGGTTACAGGATTAAGCAACATAATGAACACAGCTATATGTCAAAGGCTTGTTAAGTGTTTCCTCAACATACACAACACTTCTTATTCTCAGTGATGGCTTGCTGTTTTTCCAGTTACACAAGTCTGCTATCAGCAATCTCATCAGCTACAGCAATCCTGTTTGGGGAAGATAGGAAACACAAGACACAGAATCAGCCCTTAGAATACATAAACAGCTGAATTATAAGTACTGACCCAAACAGTAACAGACAGCGGACAGTTGCAGTTCTAACTGTTGATTATAATCCATGAATGCAGTCCATATTGTCCTCAGAGCAACACTGCGGTGGAGTGGTACAGACTGTGTGTCAGGGGTGGCTGAAGGGCATTTCCTAGACTGGAGTCCCCTTTTTTCTTGACAGAAAGCAATTTTCCTGTTTGTGGCACCATTGTAGCATTTTGTTTGAAAGGTGACTCAGTTCTGGAAACCTAATGTTTTTCCTTACCAGAGCTGAAATACAGCCACGACTCAGGGTCACAGCAAGCAAGCTGTAGGTCCTCCACTTCTGTCTGCCGTAATATACGACATATCTGCAGTGTGATACCACAACGTTATACTTTCATTAATAAGGTTGGGGGGAGAGTGAGAGTGGCCGTTATTGCTATTCAGATCATCTGACACCAGCTGAAGATTAATGAATGAATTGAACAATCCTTCATCCTAATGTCAGTCTGTCATTGATCAATCTGTTTGTTCCATGTTCTCATGCAAAAATGCAAAACAGCAAAAGACAATCTTTGATTTCAATATATAATGTGATTTTAACATGTAAATTCAAGCTTAAGTGTCATTCCAGGGGAAGGTGCTATAAGTGAGTGACAATTTAATATTGCACATCCATAAAGTTCTTGAACTTGCAAGAGACAGATTTACTCCAAAAAGGCTTGGTGTAGTGCTGAAATGATTAGTTGATAGACAAATCATTTTGTCAAAGTATATCAAAGTGGCAAACACTCTCTGGTTCCAGCTTCTCCAATGAGAGGATTTGCTATTTTTTCTATTAGTTTCATGTCATCCATCCCTTGACCCCTTGGTTGGAGCCAATCCCAACTGACATTGGGAGCGACAGGTTGCCGGTCAATCACAGGGCTCACACATAGGCAGACATCCATTTACGCTCACTTTCACACCTACAGGCACTAGAGTCAGCAATTAACCTAACCATGGGAGGACACCCCAGCAGACTCCACACAGAAAGGCCTGAATAAACCGGCTGGCAGATTTGAACCCGGTGAGGCGACAGTGCTGACCACTGCTCCACAGTGTCTTCTTGTTTTTTTTATCATTGTAAATTAATTTTATCTTTCAGTTTTGGTATGACAAAACAAGTAAGTCATCACCTTGGGCTCTGGGAACTTGCAGTGGGCTTTTTGAGCCATGCTTGCAATGTGGCTCCAGGGATAGCACTGTCAACCCGTTGGTTGGTCAATTTTGGACAGACGTTCACACTGCCCAGAGGCTGAATCCTAAGGGCTTGACCACTATTGACACAACTGAGATTCCCATTAGCCTATTAGTTTACAGTGGCACAGAAAATAATGAATGATCAATCACACATCCTTCACTCTAAGTACTTGTATTTACATTCTGGCCGATGGTTTAAACTTTAAAAATTTAGTTGTCAGTTTTACTGTTGAACATGCTATATTCTGGTACAATGTGCAGTATTCCAGTTTAACTCATAGCAGTTTTATTACTTTTTACTTGTGAATGTATGAACTTTGTTTTTTTTAAATGTATTTTACTGTATGAATGATTGTAAGGATGCAAGGATGTCCAAGACAATAAAGCGTATCTTATCTTACCTGCTAACCATCAGCATGTTAGCATGTAGCTTAAATCACAGTTTCTGCCAAGGTGCATCCTCACAGAGCAATCACAGAGCTGTAACTCTTAATCTCGCTTTAGTCTGGTTGATAGACTAAACCATTTGATAGACTAAATGACTTCACCAGTTTATCAGTACTCCCTATGAATAATCAATTGACTTTAACATGTAAAATTGGTGGAGAGCATCTTTAATGAGACATGAGATACATTTTTGGCT